GTGCGTGTGTGTGCGTGTGTGTGCGTGTGCGTGCGTGCGTGCGTGCGTGCGTGCGTGCGTGCGCGCGCGCGCGCGCATGTGCGTGTTTAAAAAATAAAACATTAAACACATTTATAATATATTGGGCGATCTCAAAGTTTAATCTTATATTTGGGATCGTCTTAAGATGATCAAATGATCATAATATTCATAGTTCGTTTTTATTTTAAAACCGCGTCTTAAGTAGTAATGTCTTAAGATGCTGATATATGCCTTCCAATAAGGGATACAATACAGTGATCATATTTCATCCTTGTTTAATATTAGCGAACAACAAGGACGTACTGATACATTATTGTGTCACACCGTGTCATCTATGTCGCTTATTGGAAGGCACCCAATATGTCTCTCTGATTGATTTACAATACAGGTACATATACAGGGTGTCATTAACCGATTAAATCACCTGTCAAGAATAGGTAGAGTAAACAGAACTGAATCGAAAAGTTTTACCATTTTGCATTTTACGCAATATTTAACGAGATATTAAATCTTAAAAATAGCCGAATAAACGCGTTCATCCGGTCTACTATTGCTTTTCGACTCAGTTCGGTCTACTCTACTTGCTCATGATAGATGATTTAATCGGTTTATGACACCCTGTATATGTACGAAGGCAAGTTCTTAGAAAATCTGTCAGAGGGACATTTGAACGGAATTCATCGAGATGTTTCATTTCTGTAGACGATTAAAGCGAACAACCTTTGTATTTTTTTGCAAAATGGAAAAAAACGAGTTTCGTGCAGTGATCAAACATCTACATATGAAAGGTTTAACGCCGACAGAAATCAAAGCCGAGTTGGATAATGTTCGTAGCACATCTGCACCAGCGTTTGCGACTATATACAATTAAGGAAATGAATTTAAACGTGGTCGAATATCCACATGTGATGCACCTCTTTCGGGCCGTCCAATTGAGCCTGCTACACCAGAAATCATCGATAAAATCCATGATATTTGTTCCGGAATAGGATAAGTTTCGCGCCACAAAGCCGAATAAAGGATCGATTGCGCCATTCATCGATTCCGTCCGTGAATCTTTCGTCGTACTCACCGCGCCGTCTTGCGAATATCATTACTACAATTTAGCCGCATATTTGGATACCGATGTCGCTGTCGTCCTGCCGATTCGTCGCGCTAATCGCGCAGCGCGATTCTACCCTCTGACACAAATCAGTACTTGCCGTGTCAATTAAGTTGTGCTCTCAAATTACTCGTTGAAAGCAGCAGCTTTCTTTTTACGGGTTCGCTACCGCGACTCGTTACTTTGTACGTTTTATCACGGCTACCGTCGTGGATAAGTATCGGCGTATTAACCGCAGTTAATCGTCTCTCTCGCCGTGCCACGCGAACAACGTTTACTTTGTGAATAAAACTTGCATACAACAAGTTAAAAAGGAGTGCTCAGTGTTCTCAACCGTCCAGTCCACCAATCCATTCCGTCATTCGAGATCTCAGCCGAGATCGAAGCAGCGATTTCACGCATAAAGGACAATATTGTTTTGACTGATTGACGAGTGAAAGTGCGCGAGCTTGTTGAGACCACAGACATATCACATGACACAGTGATTTCAATTTTGTACAAACAATTGAGTATGAAAAAGCTATCAGCATGATGGGTGTCGCGTTTACTCACTGTGGACCATAAGCGCGACCGTGACGATTTCAAAACAATGTTTGGAGATGTTTCACCGCAATCCAGATGAATTTCTGCGTCGATTCATTACTGTGGACGAAACATGGATCCATTACTTCACATCCGAGACGATGGAACAGTCAAAACAATGGACTTCATCGGATGAACCAGCTCCGAAGAAGGCGAAGACTGTGAAGTCGGCCGGAAAGGTGATCGATTACCTTTTGTTAAAGCAAACGATCAGTGGCGATACTACGCAGCCTTATTGGACCGTTTCAACATTTTAAAGAAAAAACATCCCCACTTGGCGACGAAGAAAGTACTTCTTCATCAAGACGATGCACGGGTTCACACGTGCCCGGCACCGATATCCAAATTCAATGTATTCCGTTACGAATTGTTTTCCCATCTAGCATTCGCCAAATTTAGCCCCCTGCGACTATTTCCTGTTTCCAAACCTAAAGAAATGGTTCGGAGGAAAGAGAATCACCACCAGAGAGCAGCTCATTGTCTAAACAAGGTATCGATCATGAAACTTTTTCCCTAGGATGAAAAGTGAAAAGTGAAAATTTTTATCATTGAAGTTACTGAAGAAATTTTTCACTTTTCATCCTAGAGAAAAAAATTTCATAATCGATACCCAGAGGCTTATTTTGAAGAATTGGACAAATCAGGAGACGCGGTAGTGTCTCCGGCCATGTTCAAAAACTGAAAGACACTATAACTCTCTTATCTCGAGTCACCAAAGTCCATTTTTCGAAGGTGCATAACTACTGAAATATAAAAAATTTTGAATCGAACGTTATATGTCTTGAAAGACGGCATCCCCACGAGTAATTAGAGCCAAAAAAATTTTAAATCTGTCAAGCCGTTTTAGAGATACAGGCTGTTTTCCAGCTAGGACACAGAAACGTTACACTGTGCTCCACTGTGTAAAGACTTGTTGGAACGATAGAGCTCTAATTGGTAACACTGGCATACTCTACACGTTCGTACTTAGCTTTTTACAGTGTCGAGCAGTGTAACACTGTGTCACAGTTGGAACACTTTGTGTAAGACACAGTGTTACACTGTGTCATCTGTGTACGTTGTTGGAAAACACCCACAAGCGGTCGAAAAGTGATAATTTTAATGAAAAATTAAGAAACGTCTCTGTAAGAGCTGGACCGAGAAAAATGTCGGACGCTCGAATGCGATGCCAGGACTCGAACCGAGCAACCGAGGCCTTGTAGTAGTTCGTGTTAGCTAGAGTCCTAGATATCAGAAAAGCGCAACCGGCTTAAGTCAGTATCTCAAAACTACCAAGAAAAGTACTAAAACGAACTATGAAATCCACCAATCGTCTATTAGTCAGCCATTTTAAGTACCAATGAATGAATGTCATGATTAGCTCACAGTCACGCCAATCAAGACGCGTAACATCGGTTGCGGTTCTCTGATATCTAGAACTCTAGTGTTAACAAGCCACCGTCTTGCCTATGAACCCCCAATTAACAAGTTTCATGCAAATTGGATTGATTTTGAAAAAAGTCGTCCGCCATTTTGCATCCGCCATATTGAATCTTTGTAAACTGATGTTTGATTCGTGATCAGCAACCCTCGTAAACTCATAATATCGAGCATCTTAAGAAATTTTTTATTTCTTAAAGATTTGATAGAGTAAATTTATAATTCCCATTTAGCAATATTACTCTAACTTTGATCGATCGTAACTATCGTTTACATAATTAATATTTTCGTAACCCAACGAAAAAGGGTTTAAATAGGGTGTTTTGGGAAGCTCTTGATATCTACTATTCAAAAATGCAATGGAAAAAGTGCGACATTTCAGCCCAAAAATCAGCCTTATTGACCCTCCTCCTTTATCAATTAACTCTGAAAAAAAGTGATATCATTTCTTACGGTGCAAGTACAAAATGTAATAGTGTTTGGAAGATTGATTTAAATATTCGCATTAATGACGGCAAGCCTCGATTGGTATTGTTGAGAATGACATAAGTAAAAGGCATTACAACATAATTTTGTGTGTTCACATCGTTATCGTTATGGAGCTTTTGAAAATACGGTGGGTCCTTATTTTATTCTAATCTAATCTTATTATTCATTATTTATAAGTAATACTTTTCGTACTTCAAGTGTCGAAAAAATTACTCCGTACAAGCTTCGACATTACTTCTAAGTGAACAACCAGAAACTCATCAGTCTTTTGAGAGCAGGCCGCCATGTTCTTTTTCCGAGTCATTAACAGATTGGTACTCTGGAATTACAAGCAATTATTTTTCATTGCACGGGCTAGTATAAATTAAAAATTTCAAATCAAATCTCAATAACCGACTTTTATATTTTGTGCACTAAGAATAACATATTGCAGAAATTTTTTAGATAACTGTAATATGCAAATTGTAATCTGTTTTACTTATATGTATGTATGTATGTTCATTTTGAATTTGCACCTTGAATGATCTATTAGTTACTTTTCGTGGTACATATGGCTTGTTCTTTTTGCCTGCACTGTCTGAACTGGTGCAGACAGCGCAATAAGTTGAAGTGAAATAAACGTATATCTATTTCACTTCAACTTATTGCACTCTGTGCACCAGTTCAGTAAAAAGAACAGGCCTATTTTGAACATAGAAAATATACTTTACGTATGTTAATTGCAGTTATTTTCTAGAAAACTGTAACATGCAGATTGTAATCTGTTTTACTTACATGTAGGTATGTCCACTTTGAACTGCACATTTAGTAATATATCAGTTACTTTTCGTGGTAATATATTATATTAGATAATATTAAAGGTTTAAATTATTAGGTTACATTATTAGATAATCATTTTAATTTAGAAAGGTTCAAATGTTTGGGGTTAATTTTCAAAAGTTGAAGTTTATTGGGTCTTTTATTTTGTTTGGTTAGGTAATCGTTTTAATTTAGAAACGTTCAAATTTTTGCTGTTAGCTTTCAAAGGTTTAAATTGTTGGGTTTTTTAATTTGCGAGGATCTATTTTTGAACATGGCTTGACCTTTTCATTTTAATGATATGTTAGGATTAATAATATATCAGTTACTTTTCGTGGTTAATATATTATTATTAGATAATCGTTTAAAGTTTTAAATGTTTAAATTTTTGATATATTATAGACGTATATATTCTAATAGTATATCTGTA